CAGTAATTCGCCTTTACACGATGACAGCGTGGTGATCCGGCATGAAGGATGTGAATAGTAATTTATGAAGTCTTATTTCTTTACGTGAATAGTAAAAAAATAAGACTTCATAAATTACTAGTATCATAAGTAGATAAGTAATTTTGAAAAATGGAGAGTTTAAGATGATTTCTTCTATTTCAGAATCTTCATAGCTGGATTCCTTTGGCCTCAGACATGGATTTTATATTTAACTTCTGTGTTAGTGGGTGCTGGTGCTGCTTTGATTTGGACAGGACAAGGAAATTACCTGACTTTAATGTCAGACCAGACAACAATATCACGTAACTCTGGAATCTTCTGGGCCATGCTTCAGAGCAGGTAATTTGTTTAGAAGTATTGTCAGGTTTTTCTATAGTTCTATTGTTTTGTCAAATGACAGAGCCATTATTTTCTATATAAAAATCCAAAGAAATCAGTTAGGCATTATTTCAGATTATTTAGATTAAAATATATTGTTTGCTATACATGTTTGTAACATCAATAGTAACTTGGTCAGGGCATCTTAAAAAATCATGTAACTGATACAGAAAAGTATGTAATACATGATTAGCTTATCCCTTGTTAAAAGAGTAACAACCTGGAACCATTAGAATTAATGAGAGCCTGTCTCTAGACTAGAGCAAAGAAAAGAGTTTTAAGCCTTAGTTGATAAGGTACAATTATCATGTTTTATTTTTTTCAGTATAGCTCACAAAGAGCAACTGTAATTACTCATTATACAAAGAGATGTAATTGATGTATTTCAGTGTCCTCTCTCCAGAATTAAATGTGATTTTGGTGAAGATATAACAATGAAGTACACCATTTACATCTACTTTATTTAGGGTGTTATTTTTTCTCATTAAAATGTATTCATATGTTGCAAGATACCTATATTGATGTATCATTCCCCTCTTTGAGAACTTGACCTTGAGAGTGATTTGGAAATAGAGAAACTGAAATGAGATTAATGAGAAAACAAAAAGAGTCATCTTTCTAACACCAATTTCTTTTTGTTGCCATTTTTAGAAATATGTTTCTATTAAAAGATATGTTTACTCACAAGATAGACATATATAGGGTGGAAATTAGATCCTGTATGAACATTTTTTATGAATCAGTCAGTTGTTGTTTACGACTTAGGAATGGCCACATCCACTCTCCACTGTGATTTTATTTTGTCCACATATAAGTAGCTTCATAAGTGCTTAGTCACCAAGTAGTCAGTTAGCATGCCAACCTGACTCCTCCAGTTTACCCCATTCCTTGAATTTGCAGAAAATAATCTAATACTACTATCATCATCATTAATAATGTTGTTATTATTATCAACATCACAGTCATTTTAACATTATTGAGCTATTTGGATATTAATGTTAAAAATGACAATTCAAAGAACAGAGTAAATAGGTGAGATCAGGCTAGCGTAGTAATTGACTTCTTTATCTCTCAGTACTTCTAGAACCATGTTTTTAAATACAAAGTTAATGAAATAAAATTACAGTGGACCTGGTATGTATACATGTGGACTCTTAGTAACAACAGGTTAAAGAAAGGGAGCATGACTATGATGCAAACATGATATTATAAGATTGTAGTAAGGTTACCTTTTTCAACAGTACTTTTGTATATTTCCATCAAGTTTTAGTTAAATTACATAGTTTCATTAGGTATTGAGAATTTTTTTAATGTTTTGGTTAATAATTGTATCATTTCCATTTTTCAGTCTGTTGTTTGGTAACATCTTCGTATACTATCAGTTCATGGGAAAAGAGATTATTGATTCCTACACTAGAACAATAGTATTCTCAGTGTTAACAATTGTTGCTGTGATTGGTGTATGCGTAATGTGCATATTGCCCAAACCTGGCTCTGAAGGAGGAGGCCGTACTGATGACTTGGGAGGTCCATATGCAGCACTGAAGAAGTCCTTTGCACTATTTAAAACCAAAGATATGCTTCTCTTATCTGTTACATTCTTTTATACAGGTAAAATGGTAATGGAATAATGTAGAATAATGTATGATACTTACTTGCAAAACTGTTGTCATTTTAGTATATCATTTGTTCCTTTTTTAATCTTAATAACTGACTATAATTTATTTAATTCTTTAAAGTCTTATTTATATATTATGATTTTGTTACCAAGCTCTCTGAAATGTAATTTCCTCCTTTACAATCATTTCTTTAAAATATATAAACAAAACGCTCATATGCTATACATTGACTTCGACTGAAATAAATACTATACACATTTTCAGGCATTGAGTTGTCATTCTTCAGTGGAGTGTACAGTGCCTGTCTTGGGTCAACACTAAGGTTCCCAGATCCCAAACGCTTGGTTGGACTGTCAGGCATGTTCATAGGTGTGGGCGAGATTTTGGGTAAGTATTGGCTCTGCTTGGTGTTGATACCTATAACCCAGATTGTGATGTGTTTGGCCTCATGATATTTTCATTAATCAAATTTTGTTAGAGCTTCTATATGTTTTTTATTTCTTTTGTTTTCTTTTTTTCCAGGTGGAGGAGTATTTGGAATCTTTGGAAGTAAAACGGTGAAATCTGGTCGAGACCCAATTGTGATTTTAGGATATGTGGTTCATATGGTTTGCTTCTTCCTTATTTTCATGAATCTCCCAACAAATTCACCTCTTCAAAATACCCATGATACATCCTTTTTGCCAGGTGGACAGCCCAGGTAATTTACCAGGTTTATTATATTGCTTTTATTTTCGATGTATACATTTTATATGTGTGTGTGTGTGTGTGTGTGTGTGTGTGTGTGTGTGTGTGTGTGTGTGTGTGTGTGTGTGTGTGTGTGTGTGTGTGTGTGTGTGTGTGTGTGTGTGTGTGTGTGTGTGTGTGTGTGTGTGTGTGTGTGTGTGTTGTGTGTGTGTGTGTTGTGTTGTGTGTGTGTTTGTTTTTTTCTTTTCTATTCATTTTTGATTCATGCACACATGCACATATTTATGTGTACATGCATGTATGTGTATGTATATATTTATGTATATTAGTATTTTTTCATCATATCAATCAGTATCATATATTTTTTTTTATGAAATATGATAACAGCAAAGTTTAGATTCTCACTTGTGCTTTTCTTTTCAGTGAGGTGGTTGCCTTGATGTGCAGTTTCTTACTAGGATTTGGAGATGCCTGTTTCAACACTCAAATATACTCCATCTTGGGATCAGTATACCCAGATAACTCTGGTCCTGCATTTGCACTCTTCAAGTTCATGCAATCTCTTTCTGCTGCTGCTTGCTTTTTCTACTCTAGTATCTTCCAGCTGTATTGGCATCTTGGTATCTTGGTTGTTTTTGCCACCCTCGGAACTCTGACTTTCTGTAAGGTTGAATGGAGGGCATACCGCCGTCAGAGGGCAAAGCCAGACACCACTGCTTACGACTGAATGGCTTGGCCATGAATTAGGGAAAAAGCTTATAATTGTATGATATACAGCTCCTCTGGAAGTGTTATACTACAGTTCTTGAGCAGATATTATCATACCATGAACAAACGAGTATGCATCACTATGATCCCAAAAGGACCAGAAAGTAACTATTTTTACTGGCAGTTAGTCAGGTTAATCTGTGGTTTTATGCATAAAATTCTTATACAAATCTGTTTGTAAGTCATTGTTGATATTGAAAGGTGGTAGAGAAATTGGTTGTGATACACATACATACATATATATAATGTGAATATATATATATATATATATATATATATATATATATATATATATATATATATAATGTATGTATGTATGTATGTATGTGTGTGTATATATATATATATTTCATAAATTTGGTAATGTGTTTGCATCTATATTTTCATGACTTAGTAAGAAGTTACTGTAAGGAAATATAGACTTTCTTGAGAATTTATCAGGAAAGCATCAGTATATAATTCATCAGTTATCTCTTCTGCTTCCCTTTTTCTTACTTTCTTTGTTAACTGAAATTTTCATTTTGTTATTATGCATTATACATATCATATTTTACTTTAATCTGTTATGTGCATTATGTTTCCATATAGTGCCATTGGGTTATTAGTGTACATAAAATGCAGTAAGGATAATGCATTTAGTTTTAACCAACTTTCCTTTTTCATTCACTTCATTATCATTTAAAGATTATATAGAAAAAATATTGTTGCAGGAGATATTATGTTGTTCTACTTTGTTGACCTAAATAATATTTTATGTGATATTCATCTTTGTCTTAGATGTGCAAAACTCGCATTTTGTCTCCATTGTGTCACAGAAACACATGGATATATAATGCAGGATATGAAATAAATACAGTTAACCAAGCTCTTTTATGGAACTGAAGGTTTTTGAAGTGTTTTAGCTGGATTATGTTATGCAGATGTATTATTTTTTAAATATAACTTTATTGAAGATTTGTTGTGTTCCTTATCATATTTTGTTTTTATGCCAAGTCAGTCCATGAATAAATGAGTGTAAATGGCAAAAAACATTAATAATTTATGTACTCTATCATGTTATTTTACAGTGGTATATTTTATGTGATATATGCATAGTTGTCAGTTTTAATTTTGCAGTGTGTATACATTATTTTCACTATGAAAAACATGTGAAAGTCTGAAATTAAGAAAAAATATTTAAATATACAATACAATATTAGATGAATAACATGTACAATGCTGGTCAAAACTGTCTTCACTTTTTCATTCAAGTTAGGTAATTTGTGAATATGTTAAGTATGCATGAAAGATGTATTTTGATGGTATTGTTTTATTTTATTGGCAAACATAATTTTTTTACAGTATTTTTTTTTAGATTTCATGTCAGAGCTATTGAATACAGTTTAGTGTTTTTCCATTACAGTAAAATTATATTAATTGAATTTCAAAAAAAAAAAAATACAAACTGAAAACCTGGAGATCTGCAAGAATTCCAGACCACAGGGAAATTTTCCAGTTTTAGAATAAGCACTGAAAAGAACTTTGACCAGCACTGTACCAACAAGATTTACTTTTATAATTAGAATATACATCTCTCATTCTACTCTTTACTCCTTATTAAAAGTACAAGTCATGAATTGATATCTCCATGGACATTTTTATTTTCTTTATGGCTTTTTCTTCACTGAAGAAGCTGTGTTACGTATATTTAAAAGACTTTCTTTCAAAAGAAAACTGTTCCTTAACCCAGTGCCCCCGGGAAAATATTGTGTTCACTTTAATATTGTTTTGTTAAATGTTACTGCACATAGATGGCTCTGCCAGTGCGTAGCCACATACAAGTCAATTAGTAGACCTTGTGACCTCACCTGATATCACCTTCCCTTGAGTTTGTGGGGAAAATGCTTTTTGTACTAATGCTATCAGTTTTGATACTGTTATATTTATTATAAACACCATAATTACTATAGTGTTATTGACAATAATAACAGCAATATCAATTGCCAGAAAATATTATTGAACATCAAGGAAAAGGGGTAAACAGGTGAAACAGGTAATTCTTGTCATTGGCTCATTGGTGACTTAGTACTTGTGGAGCCATCTATGTGTAAAAACAATTACTAAATTAAACACACAATAGGCATGGCATGTATGCACATGCCATCCCCGGCGGCATACAGTTAAGGAAAGTTTTTACAACAAAGCATAGATCCATGTGTGCCAGTGTGTGTAGCATAATGATAGTCTTTATCAGGTGATGTCAGCATTTGTCACTGTGATCCTTTCAGTTCACTCATGTTTTAAATTTAAATGCAAGTGGAAATACTTTTTCTCTTGGTGTATAGTGATTTATCCGCAGAGAATTGAAATTGCTCAATAATCAGAAATATATTGCCATATATGCACAATTTTTGTCCTTACAAAATGCAATATGCCAAAGAAACATACAATACAAAGAAAGTACAAAAATATTATGAATACATGGGTTGCATATTGATAGATCATATTGCCATCCACACTGCCTTATACAAAATCTTTCCAACAGTCTAGTAATTCTACAGAAAATCAGAATTATTATTAACTGAAATAGGATAAGAACTCAAAGCTGGCAAATATTTTTTTGTTTTTATCTAATATGATCTTTTAGTCTTAAGATATATATACTTTACCAGAAGTTGCAGCAAGGTTTGCATTGAAGTAATTTGCAATGCATAACAAAAGATATTAGGATTATATAGAAAATAGATAAAATAAGGTTCTATGGAACACTGGTGGAAATTTCTTCTTCAAGAAAAAATAAAGCCAATATTGTGTTTATTTAAAGTATCACAGCACTAGATGTTCATTGTAAACATCAGAAAATTAATTAAGAAATATTTTCAAATCATACAAAAATCCCAAGCCTAGCTACAAAAATTAATTTATGTTCTATTTTAGTATGTATGAGATGTTTGGTAAAAAAAAAACTAATGCATGCAAGAACTTAATCAAATTGATTTTTTTATTTTATACATCCTGAATATCCATCCATACCTAAATGGAGGTAAAGAAGAGAACACAGAAATATGAAAGAGAAAACATAGTTGCATTATCTCCTTATCTTCAATTCCTTTGAACTGAGGGATCTACAAGATATTAAACAATTTACAAAATGTGGAACTAACTCTTAAAATGAAGTAATTCCAGAAATATCAAATATCTGATATCATTCACAAAGTATAACAGAACAAAAAATATTTTAGAATAGACCAGCAAGTTTTGTATCAGCTTTTTTCCAAAATATGAGCTTAAATGTACCAAGTATTACATCTTCAGAACCATGAAACAATCTGGGATTAAAGGTGTGGTTTACAGTATCATCTCACTTCTTAGTTCCTAGAGATGGTGCTTGCATTTCTCCCTGGTACATTCACTATGATCCAGTTTTTCACATGATCTCAAGCTCAAATCAAGTCACCATCATTTTCACTTTTAAAAAGAAGATCTGGGATGTTTTTATTGTGTTTAAATTCATTGCTGAAAGAATGAAGTGTACCCTAATGTTACACAGTTTACATTACTACTTTTTCATTATTGTTCAGTCATATATCTGGCCTTATGTTCATAAAAACAACTTTCTATTGATAACAGGTGTGTTCAGTGCTTTATTTTACAAATGTGAGCAGTAGGAAAGGCTTTCACTTTGCTATTAACTAATATAAAATAATTGTGTAAAAATGGTGTACAGGTAATTTTATTTTTTTCTCTGCAATTATTAGTTGTGTATTATTTTTCTTTGGTAGACAGGGTCTGCCAGTTGATATTCAAATGACTTTTGTAAACATATAAAACTATATTTGTAAAATTCTCATAAATAAAGGAATTTCATATGTAATTTTGTCTAAAAATTTTCTTCATAGTCTTTTCTCTACTTCCATTAAAAGTATGATATCCATTACATATATCATACATGAACCTGTGACATCTAAACTTAAATACATTTTGGTGCAAAATTCTCCTGTACTATTTAAACGGCATTTCTACACAGGCTCATATAAAAAGGTTAGAAGGGCAGAAAAGAGAGTATGAATATATGAGTACACAGAAATAGCTTTTATTGTATATCATTTTGTCTAGATATCTTATACTGATTTAGGTCACGTTGTTTATATTAGTTTTTTTTTCTGTGATTACACCAATTTTTCTGAGAAGTCAAACTTTCGATCACATGTGTTTTATTTCAAATATTTATACTTAATAACATCTAAACTGGTTGGTATTACTTTCCTATCAACTTACCATGCAGTCTGGTCAGATTATCTTTACAAATAATTCTCATCACTGGTATTTCTTTTACTTATGATACTGTATTTTTTGTTATTATAACAACCTTATAAACCTTATAATAACAATATGCATGTTCATACTGTGATTTTCGTCCGTAACAGCTTACAGTCAGTAAAAATAGTTTGGCCTGTTATGTTTCACAAAGAAAATGAGCTTATTTCATTGCGTTCATAGAAAACGTAGGTCTTTATAAGGATAACTTTTTTTTTATATATCATGACAGTTTTTCATTGCGCTCATAGAAAATGCATTTTTTAAAAATAAGTATAACCCCCTTTAATATATTCCTGAACTCTAAACCTAAATTTGATGCAGTCAGGTGGCATGGGTGTGTATATATAACTTTGCACCATGACCAAATGCCTCTGCTAGCTGTATTGGGGACAAACAGAGAACGCCTACAACCAGACTGATTTGCTTAGACACTATCTTCTTCCTGTCTGAGTGAACTAAGAAAAACACAAATACAGTTCTCGCTCAGCCACGGCCTCTGATAGGATCTCCTACTCCATCACTTCCTACCCAGGGCTGACAGGTGAGCTTGCATTCTTACAACTCCTCAACAAGTCCTGAACACTTCCACTCTACCCCTGAGCCGGAAGGGGGCTGGCGCAGGTCTCATCCCAAAACCAAAAGAGCCGGGGAGGTATCGCCTCGGCTCTCTCCTCAGCTATCTGGACAAGACAGCCGAAAGGATGGTACTAAACCGGCTTCAATATAAACTGGGACCTCCGCATTAACACCATAGGTTCACAAGTTCACAAGGGGTATGAACGCAGTTCACATTGCAGCTACACTCTTAAGCACAACCAGCATTGTCCCATTTGTTGTAGTATTCCTAGACCTGGAGAAGGGTTATGACTTAGCAAGTCCTCTTGCTATTCAAGAGACCCTGAATCAGAAAGGAATTAGAGGAAAGCTCTTGCCCTGGATAGGTACCTATTTCAGGAGCAGAGCAGCCAAAGTCAGATTTCAAGATTACCTACCAAAGCACAAGTAACTAGAAAATGGAACGCCACAGGGTGGGGTCCTCAGTCCAGCCCTTGTCAATACCTTATTGCCCTGTATCCTCAGCACACACCTCCCAAAGGCGTGCAAAATTATCTCCTATGCAGACGATCTTTCAATCATCTCTACTGATCAACACTGCCTGAGGAGAACCCAGCGCTCTCTGATCTTGTGTCTGAGGAGTGTTGTAGGTCAGGACTAAAGATCTTTGCACCCAAATCAAAGGCCCATGGCTCCGAGACTTAATATGCATGGTACAAGTCTGCATATCCAGGGAATGGACCTAGAGTAGGTTCAGGTCTTACAATACCTTGGGTTATGGGTCGACCAGGAGATTCAGTACCTGGTTGACCGAATAAGGCAAGACTGTCTGTCATGAGAGCAATGACCGGGAGACACACAGGAGCAGAACACATAGCACTGAGAGCATTCTATGTACATGCTGTTCTTCCCATTGTGGACTACATTTCTGTCGCCCTGACTGCTACCAAGCCAAGACTAAGAGAAAGACTGGAGACAGTCCGAAATGAAGCTCTCAGTATTATTCTGGATACCCCCAGGTCCACGAAGGTCCTTATCGTCCTCATGGAGGCAAACCTTCTCCCCCTGGACTTCCGAATTGATATAATAGCATCATAGTT